GAATCAGGCGTTTAATAATCACTTGATTTTGTTTGTCATCATTAAAGCCAATGATTTGCTGACAACAAGTGTTGGGTTTTTTGTGACCAAATTTGGTGTAAAATAGCCATTGATTTAAGCGATTACTTATTGTCGCAAACCGTCGGTTAAAATGATGGCCAAAAATGTGGACAACTCTCACATCAATGAGCGAAGACTTCGACCCATTTATGGTCTGTATATTAAGCTGTCTTTGCCTAACAATTGATCCCTCTTTGCGGCGATTGTCTCGCATTTTGTTTTGTGTTTTTATTTATGAAATGCATTTTTATGATCAAAATTGAGTAAATGTTTGGTTTAATTGGTTTACAATTGAACTTTTAGACCATTTGTGGATCATTTGAATCACATGTGTGTTTGAATACCCCATAAAACTAATTGTCTTATGTGTTGACATGTATTGAACAGATTGTTTGGATAACGGGAACAACAAGAAGGCTCTTCAGGAGGCGGACAAAGTGCTTAAGAAGCAGAAGGACTTGTTGTGCGCCAAAGTGTTGAAGTCATTGGCGTTGTTAAGGATGGGAAGACAGGAGGAGAGCCTCCGACACCTCAAAGAAGTTCACGCCGACTGTCCCACCGATGACTCTACTCTTCAGGCGATGACTATCTGCTACCGTGAGCTCCATAAAGGTATTGAAACTATTGTCACCACTTTTTGTGGGCATTTTTGTTTGAACTAAATGTTTGGTCACTTTGTTTACAGCGGAACTGATAGCCGACGCCTACGAGAATGCCGTGAAAAAGGATCCGTCAAACGAAGAACTCCACTCCCATTTGTTTATGGCTTACGTCCGGTTAAGTGACTACAAGAAGCAACACTTGACAGCACTCGGTCTCTATAAACTCAAACCCAAGAATCCGTACTATTTTTGGGCTGTTATGAGTATTTTAATGCAGGTTTGCGTCACTTAATGAGTATTGTTTTGGAGAAGTGTTAAGTAAACCTATGTTTTGTTTTGTCCTTTTAGGCGATTAGCGATAAGGAGTCTAAACTGGCCCACAGTCTAGCGCTACCATTGGCTGAGAAGATGTGCAAAAGGTTTTTGGAAGAGAATAAGATCGAAGCGGAGGCTGAGGTCGAGCTCTACCTAATGACTCTCGAGAAGCAAAAGAAGTACAACGAAATGCTGTCCGTAATGGACAGTCCCGTCGGCGCTAAACTCAGCAATCATTTAGACTTTTTATCGAAACGAAGGGCGGATTTGTTGAGACGTTTGGATAGATATGAGGACGCGTTCAATGCCTACAAACAATTGATTGACAACAATATCGATCAAATTGATTACTACACAGAACTCATTGATATAGCATTTGTGTTGAATGAGAAGTCAAGCGCAGAGGCGAACGACAATCAAAACTCTGGTCATTACTTATCTCTAGTAATGACTTTTATAGACGATTGTATCAAAAAAGGTGTCATTAATTCCGGTTCAGTTAGTAATGGCGGCGCCAATGAGAGAGCCGTTCAGCCGCGTCTTAGAGGACCCTATTTGGCAAAAATGGTTTTATTCGGGCGTTTAGAGGAACGGCAACGAACTCAGGCAGACGTCGAGCACCTCATCAAACAGATGGCCAATTCAGTGATAGATCTTCTGTTTGAATACTTTGTCGAATTTGGCTCAAAACAAGCGGCCATTTATGATATGCTATTTATTTTAGAAAAATTTAACTTAACTGAAGTGGAGATACAGACCGTGAGTGTGGTTTGACTGGTGTTAAGACACAAATAATCTAATGTTTAAACATTTAAATTTATAGTTAACTCTACAGATGAAGCAATCGATCGCTAATATCACAGAGAATTATAGCGATTTGAATTCAATGCACAGACATATGACTTATCTTTATATCTGTCACTATTTGGGACAAAACGACGGCTTAAGTGCTTCCAATCGGTTAGACTTTGTCCAACATTTGGGCCAAATTTATGAAAAGCATTTCGAAAATATAATTGCAAAAAGCGATATTATGACAACTGAACCCCAATCGACTGATCCGTTTGTGACACTTATGGCTTGTGTTATGTTCGTAAACAAGGAGTTTGACGACAATATATTAATCCAAACGATTGTAATACTAGAGAACGGGTTAATCAAAAGTCCGGCTAATTTTCACTTTAAGCTATTGTTAGTAAAGTTATATAACATGATCGGAGCGGTGAGCGCTAGTCATACGTGGTTAGAATCGCTGGATATCAAACATATCCAATACGATTCGCTCGGATATATATTCGCCACTCAACACATGATTGGCGCCCACTTTAACACCAGTTCCCAACTGTTGGGAAATATGTTAAAGTTTTATTCGTCAAACGTTAAAGACGTTAGTGTTTTGTTTGTTTTGCTTTTTGTTCAACAAAAGTAATGAGAAGTTAATTGTATTTTGTTTTGTTGAAACAGACTTTGGATTATATGATATCGTGTTATAAATTCGGTTCGTTTACGAAAGTGGAAGAGATTCTTCTGTTTAGGGATCGATTGACTAATTCGCTGCAATACTGTCTCTCTGCTGTCGACCGTATGATTTTGGATATGATTTTGGAAACTAAAAAGTAAATTATATATATTTTTGTTACTAAACAAGTTTTAAACGTTAAGAAATGAAGTATTAATTGTTATGTATTATTGCAGTCATTCTTCGACTGAGAATATAATAAATTATATGGAAATCGATGTCGAAAACGATAAGTTTGTGTGGAATGAGATCTCCGATAACCGAGACTTTAGTGTCATTCGTAGTCACCATCAGAAGAGCGAGAGCTCAGTGAAGGAGAGCCAGAAGCGCACGTTTGACGACGAGATTCTATGGCTTAAGATTAGAAATCTGTTGATTAGAGCCATCGCTGCCTCTCATAATCTGGTCAACGATGAGGTGAAGAAAAAGGGGTTAATTAATAACAATAACACCGAAACTAATGGCACAGAAAAGCGCAATAATATAGACGTATTGAGCGAACTATCGGTTCAATTTCGAGAGTATATCTCTTGTGTCCATTCGTCGACATTCGCCGAATCAATGGTTTGTTTGTTATTTGTTTTGTCGTGAAAGTGATGATTGATTTATTGTTTTTATAGCTATCACTGGACGAACCGAATGAGTCACGAATTGTATCGTTTAGTAAATTAAATTATTTTGAAGTGCTCTCAGAGTTAATAGATTTCATAATTAGTTTAAATAATGAGCCCAAAGAGGGCTCGTTATCATCGGATCCCAAATCCGGTGATATATTTGCCTCAATTGTAGACAAGTTGGAAGAATCGGTGAACACCTGTAAGACATTATTCTCTGTTCGGTCAACACTGGAACTGTTGACAAACACAATGGAAACGCTCAGCCTATCGATCATACTGTTAGGTATCTGTCAGTCGATAATGAAATACAAAATGAACATCAATTCCTCAAATAAGAAGAATCGCCGAAAGAAAGAGGTGTCGACCGCGGGATCAGCTGCTGCTGAAGACACGACCAGTTATTTGGTCAAAACGTACGCCTCGTTGGTGTCCAAATTCGAGGCAAGCGCTCAACGTATTGATACAATTCTCAAAGCCGTCAATATATCGTCCGTTTTAAGTGAACGTTTCGTTTTGGACGGACTATCGGTTAGTATCAGACCATCGATTCAATACACTTTTAAGTATACATTAATTAATAAATTGTTGCCTTTCTTTAGTTTGCGGACGATATTAGAGACAAAGTGAACAAAAGTTATTTCCAATCGCTTAAAGAATTGTCACTACTTTTACAAAACAAATTATTATATTTACAATCGCTTCGATTGTAATCCATGTGTTGTTTTTTATAATCATTCAGTTTTTTTGAATGCCTTAACTCTTATATACAAGTAATAAATTAAATGAATTTATATATAAAATGAGCCCACTTTACGACTCAAATCATTAGGTCTTGTGTCTGGAAATGATTGGATCCGTTGATTTAGACGATTGGCGGACAGAGAGTAGACACGGATTCCAATGAGTATTGACTCGTGAGAGTTATCACAATTTATGTGATATTTTGTGCGCAAAATTGTGTGCTTTTTAAATGAGAAAAACACGGATTTAAAAGAAATTAAATTACTTTAATAAAAATATATATAAACTATTAGTTTAATGTCGTCTATGGGATCGTGAATGGGAACGACTTCGGGAACGCGACCGAGATTTCGATGAATGCCTATTACGTCGGGTACGGGAACTACGGGATGGCGATCGGGACCGAGATTTAGATCGCTTTCTCTTATGAGACTTCTTATGCGAATACGAAGAATGTCTCGACTTTGAGCGATGAGAAGAGCTCGAGGACACCAATCGTGACGAGTCTTTCAATGGCTTATCACTCACTATGAATGGCAATAGAGAACCACTTTTGGCGGTTTCGTATGTCTTGTGACTCAACACAGCGTCCAATAAGGAGTTGTCACTGTTTTTGCCATCACGTGTTGGCGAGGCGTTGGGAGACGTGACGGCGCATATGGTCGGCGAAAGGGGCGCACTGTTAGTCTGTGTCAGGCATTTGGGCAGCTCTGGTCCGTAGGACCCGCTCTCATGTTCTGTTGTGACAACACTTTCACTCGATTCACTTGTTTTTGTCTGTTCTTTGGACTTATTCTTCATGAGTGTTATGAAGAGCGCGGCCTTTCGTTTGCGTTTTCAGACCATCAATTCAATACACTTTTTAAGTATACATTAATTAATAATTAATAAATTGTTGCCTTTCTTTAGTTTGCGGACGATATTAGAGACAAAGTGAACAAAAGTTATTTCCAATCGCTTAAAGAATTGTCAATACTTTTACAAAACAAATTATTATATTTACAATCGCTTCGATTGTAATCCATGTGTTGTTTTTTATAATCATTCAGTTTTTTTGAATGCCTTAACTCTTGTATACAAGTAATAAATTAAACGAATTTATATATAAAATGAGCCCATTTTACGACTCAAATCATTAGTTCTCGTGTCTGGAAATGATTTTCAATAAAATGATGGATTCAGTGATTGACGGACAGAGAGTGAGAGTTATCACATATTTATGTGATCTTTTGTGCGCAAAAATTTGTGCTTTTAAATGATTTAAACACGGATTTAAAAGAAATTAAATTACTTTAATAAAAATATATATAAACTATTAGTTTAATGTCGTCTATGGGATCGTGAATGGGAACGACTTCGGGATCGCGACCGAGATTTCGATGAATGCCTATTACGTCGGGTACGGGAACTACGGGATGGCGATCGGGATCGAGATTTAGATCGCTTTCTCTTATGAGACTTCTTATGCGAATACGAAGAATGTCTCGATTTTGAGCGATGAGAAGAACTCGAGGACACCAATCGTGACGAGTCTTTCAATGGCTTATCACTCACTATGAATGGCAATAGAGAACCACTTTTGGCGGTTTCGTACGTCTTGTGACTCAACACAGCGTCCAATAAGGAGTTGTCACTGTTTTTGCCGTCACGTGTTGGGGAGGCGTTGGGAGACGTGACGGCGCATATTGTCGGCGAAAGTGGCGCACTGTTAGTCTGTGTCTGGCATTTGGGCAGTAGACCAGGCATCCTGGGCGAGAGTACAAGACAACACTGTTGTGAAAGTGAGCTAAGTGAACAAAAACAGACAAGAAACCTGAATAAGAAGTACTCACAATACTTCTCGCGCCGGAAAGCAAACGCAACCAACTGTTTGTCTTTGGCCGCCCGGTCTCTCACCGCCAGCGCTAACTTGTCTTTCAGCGCGTTATCGATAACCCTTTTGGCACTCATGTCCGGAGTGTGGCCGCTGTCCAGCACTTCGTCGGCCGCTTTCAACGGGTTCTCATCATTAGGTGCCGTCGATTTAGACTCTGTTTTAGAACTTATACTAAAAGAAACGGGAGTTTTATGTCTACTTTCATGCGGTTTACTTTTAGTGGTACTCTTCGACGGCTTATGACTGTTACTGAGCTTGAGCTGAGCCATCGATGACTTGCGGTTCTCATCTAAATAGTGTAATTTGCGGCGAATATAGTGGGCGTGATATTTGTGGCCCGGGTTTACGAACTCAAACCGAGTTTCGCCCAATTTCTTGATCGA